GAAGACCGCCACTAACCGATAAATAATTAAGTTGTGTTATATCGATGACAGTTTCCACAAGTCCCTGCGTCACAAATCAAATTACTGAAATCCGTTTCTATTTTCGTCCGCGCCCGCCTTATTCGCTTATGTATCTTATTAGTTAAGTCAGGGACACTTTCATTTCATTAATTCGCTCGTCAGGACTTGCCCACGTGGACGTGACTGACATGTCAGCGTAGGGTATACGGTCTGCGAGGCGTTACTCACTAGGCTACGCGCATTGTGACGTTATAACACTGAATAAATGTCAAGCTGTAATATATGAACCGTTTGTTAACAACAGCGACATCAACGTCAGGCCATTTTCCGCGTTTATATTGCTCTATTAATACCGCCTTATTTGCACGCTCAAGGTAGGTTGACCAAGTAGTCCTGGGCAAGTGACGCGCGCTGGTCGTTGATGACGTCACGAGTTGCGTGCCAAATGTGACGAGGACCTCGCGACCTAGCGCACCGGTAGCAAGCACAGCCAGCCACAGCCAGTCACATTCCGATTCTGACAGCAGACGCACGCGCTCAATATTCAATTATATATAAAAAAATACTTTATCGTATTTGTGTTGTGATAAACTGATGACTTGGTGAAATATGTGTGCCGTGACTTTTGTCCTCACGTGTGATGTTTAGTGTGAGGTGATAGTGAAGTTTCTGATGAGTGTACGGACTAGTGGTATGGTGGCGATGGGTATTATAATAGGAACCTGTGTGCCTGATGCTGAGCAGGACTCCGCGTACGGAGCTCAGATACGTCGCCCGCCCAGGAGGATTCTGTACGGTATGCATCTCATAGCACACATGATATGAGTATTATTTATATATTAAAGATTGATCTTTTAAACAAAAACAAATGTTAAACCTGTATGGTAGCAACAACAGGTTCTTTTATATATTATCTGTAGTCGTAGTGTTTACAGGTAATTTAGGTTTCACAGAAATCCCTTTAATTAAAACTAATTAGCCTTCGCGCTCAGCACTAAGGCGAATTACAGGGATTCTTATAATGATTTAAAAGTAAATAATTTTATTGTTATTTATGTTACTAACGAGTTAAATAAATACAACGTATATAAACACTTGGACGTCAGTTCTAACAAGGACACATGTGTTGAGAAATGAACTTCAATGAATTAGTTTTATTAATGACTCTGATGAAATTAGAAATCATTGTCATCAATCATTGAGTTTCTTTTTGTTGTTCACAATTTTTATTTGGTTAGTATAAAATTATAATAGAAGCCTTGAAGTTTCTCTAAGATAATAATAATGTGACTTAATTCTATTAAAGTTTGTGTATAATGAGTTATAATACCAAACAAGCTGCTGCCTGCGGCGCCGCCCTACACGAAAAAACTACAATCTATGCCAAATATCTCACTTACAATTTTTCGCGTTTATAATATTTATAGGAAACTATTGGTGTATAAGGAATTTGTGACATACCACTAACTACCATATGTATATGATTGCTTGAGCTTTAACTCCAGGAGAACCGCGGTATTTTTTACCACCCAGTCTCCAGCACACCCCTCTTCGACACCAAAGCGACGGAAGAAAAAATGAATTGATGAATTATATCTACGACATGACACACGCTTATAATACTTCAAATGCAATTATTTATTGCTCTCTAGATCCTGCTACTTACTATGGTGTTTGATCACTCCGTCTGATAACCGGTAACTCCACTCAGCAGCTTCATAGTATCGACCAAAATAAAACAATCATGGAAAAACTAATAAAAAGTTTGTCTGCCCTGTACACTGAGTAACAAAAGTACCGCACACGCAATTAAAAGTTTAAAGAGAACTGTGGCTGGTAACTTGTTTCTAAGTAACAAATTAATAAACAGATTGTCTTCCAAAACATTTTGGGTAATGGTTCCCAAAGCCCGCTGTGGTAGTCTGTAAAAACTTTTAAAAAGTTATTTTGTATTTTCAACCAATGGTTTTGCCCGCCGCGCAGTTTCAGGGTAAAAGTAACCTGTGTTTTATTACAGGCAACCAATCAATAAGCCAAAATTCATTCAGAATCGTTTAGTAGTTTTGTTGTGTAAGAGTTACAAACAATAATATGATGAAGCATTTTAAAGTTCGAATTTCAAATTAATGAAATAAGTATAGGTTACTTTTCTGATTACCCCACTATAAAAATTCGATCGATGTATGTTCATCAATTTTTGTCAGTGCCTGTACTAAGTCAGTCGTTTGTATGTGAATACCTAATTCAAGTTTTTGTTACAATTTGTAAATTTTTGTTACCTTTTTGTTTGATTAATTGATTTAAAATTTATTTTATTAGAATAATCTTTTTTGTTAGCAGACCCTACACTATAGGGTACTTAAAATATTAATCATTTTTATTTTAAATAAGAATAGATATTAAATAAATAAAGAAAATAATTTGCAGTATGTCAACCTATTGAAGCCGAAACTTCTACATATTTATAGGAAGTATAACGTGATGTCTTCGGCACAAACAGTTATACAATAACTTTATTTATTTAAATGTAACATTAACACATTCTAGTTTTCGTTCACAAAATGTTTTCGCGCTCATTCCACCGCCTGGATTTAAGTTATCAATAAATGTAGAATTACGTTCTATTTTCAAACTTATCTGGAACATAACGGTTATTCAGACATTTTGAAAAAGGCCCTTAGTCTAACTAGTAAGTATTGGTAAAAAGATGTGAGTTGTAGTTCTACGGTACTGATGCTTACGAGTTACGACCCTCGATCACGAACCATCGCAATAACATTATTTTTTAGTCTATTATTGTTTGCCTTTAAAGTTTTAGTTTATCGTTCATGGTATTGTGAGCTCATTGGGTTTGGGCTCTTACCTTCGTCTTCTTTTCGTAAGGTATGTTTATAGCCAGGACCAGGCTAAATTGCTCATTCTAAATATCCAGTGAACTAATAATAACTCAGCATTCAACTCAATCCAATTTAGTTAAAAATACGTTTAGTTACTCCAGTAATACGTCGTGTTTTTCTGTTCCCCGTTTACCAGGGAACTGCGTCATGATGACCTACATGTGTATAAGAGCCGGCTACTCCCAGCTTGTGCCGATCAGTATCAGATACACACACAAATACAAACACACAGATAACGTCACACCGATCGATGTCTCCCACTAAACAAGTGATCGACGAAATCCCAGACTTCTAGCTACAGCCTAAGGCTAAGGCCTAGTTTTCTAAAGCCTTTAACTGGTGTGTGTTCTGAGTGCCTAGTGAGTGTTGGTTTTACGTTAACGCAATTAAAACGTTACCGCGTACAGTCCTTTGATTGGTTGGCTAACTTGGACCGGGCCAATCAGAGACGAGATGTCATAAACATGTCGATCGCTTTAACGTCACAATGTATTTTAAAGTAATTTTTTACTAATGAAGTTGGAAAGAGGTTATCGCAGTAGGAAAACCAAGCATTGGCGAATTCAAGGTTATCTTATTGGAAATATAAATAAATAATAATTAAGAAATAAAAAGTTAAACAAGTTAACAAAAGGAAAAGATAAGCAATTTTGATTGCGTTCGGGGGACGTATGATAAAGTTAATGTCACAGAGAAATGTCCTCCGACTGCAGCATAAAATTATATTAATAATTTTATAACAAAACTAGTGGATCGCCCTTGCTTCGCATGGGCATACCACTACCCCGGTGTCTCTCATTTGTTTTGCAAGCGAACGGCCCCGGCACCGAAAATATTGTCAATTCCCGATATTCCCCTTAACTTTTCTAAGGTTTTCTTTCCTATGAACCTTCTCCTTAGAATAACGAACATAACAAAAAAAAAAATATTGGCAAAATATGTCCAGGCGTTATTGAGTTATGCACTTACCAACATATTTCGTGATTCATTTTTATATTATAGAAGATAGTGGTGTTAGTTTACATGTCGATGAAAACAATTTTCAACTTTTGGTTTATAATTTAATACGGTACAAAACAAACAGTTTTGCTTCCACCGGTCTCCAGTACCGTTTGCTAACCTGTTCCGTACAGTTGTCCCGACGCCATACAAATAAATTGTAGTCGTAGCTTGTTTACGTTATAAAACCAGAATATATAATTTGTTAAAGTTCAAAATAATATTCGCACCTTCTATAATTTGTACGGAATCTGATGCAAGGTTTATATTAGTGCAGGCTATGGTAATAGAATGATTCTCTGTAATATGGGCCACATAACACAACTAGCGAAAAATGGAAAATGTGTGCCTTTACTAAGCTGTGTTCTTTTCCGATCCACAATTTTTGAGTAAAACTTGTAATAAGTATATACTTGTTATCCCACTATGTTAACTTTCCTTTAAAATGCAGCTCTCTATTAAATAGTTAAACTGCCCAATGAACTTGACGAAATCAATTTATATACATTTGATTTATGTACAGGTTATCTGAGGGTCAAGGATTTGAGGCCAATACATCATGTACCAGCGCTTCATACGTAATATTTACGCTACCTACAAGATAACTAGTTACATTAACTTTGTGATAAATTTCATTTACATCCTTAATTTGTAAGCTTGGTAGTAGTAATACGGTTGCTTGCTTGCCCCTTCTGTGCGTTCAGTATTTACTCAATATTTTATCCCAATTATAACCACAAGTCATTATTGAACTGTTTCGTATCAATTTAATGATACAATTAACGAATTGTCTTATTAAATACCACAATTTGATAAATAATGTTATAACAAATACTAGTAAATATTAATTAATTATAATGTGGTATGTTGTTTGTATGTAAATAATGCAATAATTGCGAGAGGTATTTAAGAATTCCTATTTACGACTAAAATTGACTTCGATTACTAGGCGAGTCATGAAATGAATACAAAACAATTTCATTTATTACAAAATAATAACATACCTACTAGAATAATCTGACAGTGTTCCACTATTGTAGCGTTCTCACACAACACACCTTTATACACGAGTTACAGCATACACTAGCTAGATCGTAATATATTCTTTGGTAGTCCAATGTATAAGTATTGGTAGTCGAGATGAGTGGTAGCAGGCGTGGTCTGCAGCTGCAATTGAGACTGATAGTTCGGGGGACACGGGCACATAGGCATGCACGGCCAGCAGCCCTGGTACTGCGGCTTCTTCTTCCTGCACCCTCGGATGGGCGGACACTGCGGCGTGGTGGGGTGCGTGGTCACAGGGGCCGTAGTGGTCGGGCAAGTAGTAGGCAAATGCACCAGGACCTCTGTCTCCTCCTCCGACTCGGGGCAGGGCGGCGGCGTTGGGCAGCCGGCCGGGAACGAGAGTTTTTGCATGGGTCTTTCTACATTTGTCATCCGACAGTGCACAAAGAGGAAATATTAAAGTTAATAAACAATATAAAGGCGATGAAATGTTTATTTAAAAACTTTTTTTCCTAATACTTTCCAAATTTGGAAAAGGTAGTCATCTGTCTTACCGTATTCTGGCCCGTAGCCACGTTGGATGGGACGCGGCTTTTCATGAAATGTCTTCAGCAGCTCTGGTCCCGGTTCCTGCTGTAATAGTTGCGGGTGCGGCTGCTGCTGCATGAACAAGGGCAGTGGCGCCTGACCTGGTTGGCCAGGATGTCCAGAGGGTGCGGGATATTCGGATGGAACCGCCTGCCTCTGCCTCGCTTGCTGCAAGTGTTCGGGCGGGTGCGCCGCTGCTTGTGGTCCCAGCGGCGGCGTTTTGGTGATCTCTTCGACTCCATCACGCATTCTGATTAAAGTAGTCCGTGCAGATGTAGGACGTCCTTTTAACCTTCAAAACGAAGTACTAAACTGTATATTTTTGTATAGTTAAGAGGAACAAGTGATCATGATATGTGCTATAATCATAATTAGTAGTTTATGTAATAACTGTACCTTAGTAAGTACCTTTCCCTTCGTCTCTGCTTGCACTCCTCGCACATGGCGCAGTACACCTCCAGCACGGAGGGGTGCTCCGTGTTCTCATGGCAACGCCGGCACGAGATCCGGCAGTCTATGTAGCCCGTGCTGGGGGGCAGCGAGGTCACCAGCACCGCCAGTATTACCACCACTTGATATCTGGATACGTTATGTAGCCTACCTTAGTTATAAATATGTACTTACATAAATCCCCATTAATATTATTGGGGTCAATATAAATATATTCAGGGCCATAATGCCGACTATCGCTGACAAAACAGGATGTTCCGTTGATATGTTTGCTTTTCACCGTTCATAACGTAATTAATTTCACTCTACTCAGCTATCGGCGCGTGGAACGACAAGATATAGGCTGTTTTGTATTTATGTCGATAGTAATTCGTTGTGTCCTAAACTATTTCCGCATACATCTGATTGCCCTAGTGAAATATTTTATAGATTATACAGTTACAGATTGACTAAGCAATTAATTATTCATAGTTAAAGTATAGGTATGTTATCCGTACCCGATCCTGTCATTGTTCTCTCCAATATCCATTCGGGAGGCAGACGTGGGAAGTTTGTGTTCAAGTTAAACACTAGTTGTAGACGTTTGTTCGGAGCGGTGCGACTGATGCCCCGCGTGTAATATATTTCAGTGCTAGTTACGCAAACATTGCGAAAGCAATTTATGTGCCGTGAAGTTATTTGTTTTAGTTATCGAGGCTCCAGGTGTTTAGTGTTTCTGAGGTGACGATTGAATGTACACTGTGCAACGTTCTGTTCCCGTAATACTGACAGTTGTTGGGTTCCCGTGACTAGCAAATTACTTTCCTGTCTTTTATTGTTAGGTAACACAATTGTAATTTTAGATCTTATTCTTTCAATTTACCTGCACCATCTCGGCTAGGTCTTAAAATAGCCTTTGTTATCTTGATACAAAACAGAATACGTAAGTTAGTCTCGAAATACAACAAGCGGCCACAATACCTCTCAAAGAATCGTTTAACATGCATCGAGTCACTACAGAGCCTTTGACGTTATTCTTGTATGTAGATTTAGCGATCTACTCGAGCTACACAAGCGGATATTCTGTTTCAAAGCATTAGCTTTACCTGAAATTGTTAGACCGAACCTAAAAAAACAACCCTCGTTTCCATTAAACATTTTTGTTATATAATTAATTTATATGTATTGATTATAAACTTGTTGCTCCACGAAGGTATTGTTAGAGACTTCGGCGTCGAATAATTGTCAAACAAAAGTAGCGAGCACGTTAACACAAATAGGGTAGATAATAAAACACGTAGAACAATGATCAATTGAAGAGCAGGGTGCGCCAGTGGCCGGTCGTTAGTCCGGCCCGGCCGTACGGGCCGTAAGCCGTAACCGGCACAATGAGCCGGCGGCCGTCACTCTCAGCGGCGCGTGTGTGGACTACGGATGAGCCGGGTTCTATACACTACACGATTACACTTGCAGAAGCTTAACTTTGGAACTCATCCGTAAGATGTCAAGTAGTATTTTTGCATAAACTTAAAAATGAAATGGTATTGTTGAAGTTAGATACAGTTTAGAAACTAAATCTATTTAGTAATTTGTGAATCGCAGAAAAGAGTGAACAGGATTACCAATAAACATCAACGAATCAATACCTATAAGGCAATAAATAGGTATGAGCAGTTAGAAAAGTATTTTAATGACTAGCGGTATGAAATAGTGGGTTATGGTGTGAACCTCCTGCGTCCCTCGTGTGTGGTGGCGCGCCTGACGTCTGTTGTGAACGGGTCACTTAGTTTGTTTTTATTCTCAAATAGGATTACGGGTCCAGCCGGAGTGCCTGCCGTGTTTCTACGGGGAAAATACAAACTTTTTATTATTATTTCACACATTTTACTTACAAAGTTAATAAACACATTTTATTTTGGTTAGTTACTATCCAATTATTGGAGTATTTATATCTGTTGTGGATATCCAATAACAGCTAGAAGTGCAGTGGATTAAAACAGTATTCGACATTCTGTGTAAAATTAATTACAATTGCAAGGCAGTGCTCGCATCCATATAGTATGTATATGTATGGTGGATACATTGAACCGTGCTACATGGTACAACACCAAATCTATTTAACGTCGAGTACAGATTTCAATTTTTGTATTTTCGGGGAACAGTCTAGATTAAATGTAAAATATAACGTAGCCTACAAGTTCCTCCTAATTAATAAAATAGTTAATAAATGGACCCCACGAGTCTCTTATCATTAAAAAAAAGTCATTATTAATCACATAAGTATATCAAATGAAAGAATGTCAATTTAGTAATAATAAACGCGGGTGCAAGACATTTTCCATGGTAATCGTAACATCGAGCACATAGTTATGCCGGGGGAGCGGCTGGTCGTGCGTGATTCGACTTGGTAACACGGACCGGTAGCCGTGTCCGTGTTTTTGTTGTGACCATGTGACACACAGAATGCCAACGTCTATTGTTATTATATCGTCAAGCCGTTCTTTGTTGACTTGTAAATCTCTAATATAATTCACAAAGTTCCTCAATGGCTCAAAATTTCTTCAAAAGTAACTCCTTTGATTGCTCTTTTCCTCAATTAATTTGACCAGCGAATTCGGTTAAAAAGTTTATCGAACAAGTTTGGGAGTCGCGTTTAATTAATTAAACTTGAGTTTGTTTATATTTCAGTTAATAATTAAGCCGGCTTTCATGAAATGCACACTAATGGACCTGGTTGCAACTTTGTCGTGTTCTGTTAAGATTTGATTTTTTTTTCTTTATCTTCTTTCTTGGTGTTACTGAATGTGGCGGTCGCAAGACTTCTGCCTTGAGCCAATTTATGGCACTGAGAGTGTTTATGATAATATCACGAGGTAATTGACTTGCTATAATTAGGTGTTTGAGAACCGCAGCATTCGCATGCACATTGGATACCTGCACGTTTTAATAAATTTAATATCGTGTATAATTCATATTATGTATACCATGTCAAATCAATCGGATGTTATGACAATAATTTAATTTGCAAACAAGTTGTCACGTTTTCATTTATTATGGTGTGAAATCCGTAGTGGGCATTTATTTATCCGTTGATTTGTATAATGGCCAGTTTGTGCTTCAGACGTGACAATTGATCTGAAGAGGCGACGCGATAATAGAGTGCCTCTTAAACGGAATTTTACAACATGGCCGCGACACGTTCCCGACCACTGCTGATTTCACACGTACATCATTACATAATTTACTCGTGTATTAAATAACGCTATCCTTTAATTAATATGCAGTTTCATTGTACTGGTTTATTTGTCCATAGTATAGACTTTAAACCTAACAGAATGATATTTTTATTATAACTTTCGTGAGACATTCTAAATTATTTATTATGTTTTCGGAAACTAGTCGAGTATCTCGTCAAATTATTACGTGAGTAAGCCGAAAACATAATAAATAACTAACAGAATGATATGAAGTGTAATACCTAGGTATTCATGTTTTCAGAAACGCCAGCTATTAAAAACCGCTTATGAATGTTTACATAAGAATTTTTTAGTCACGGGAAAAAGTTTTATTCCAACCTCCAATTGTCGATGGACAGCATTTATTATTAATTTATTTATTAACTGATCATGACACGGCAATTTTCCCCTTATTTTAAAACCAGTAGCGTGAGTAGTGAGTAACATTCCACAGCGGAATAGTATCGATTCGAGCCTAACTCACGTAGAATCGATTGACAATGAGTCGGTACTTGCTAACGATTATTGTCGGCTGTCTAATTGCATAGACAATGGTCGGCGCCCTCCCTCATATTATACCAGAACTCATACGGGTAATTGAGGATCGATATTGTTGTATTTAATTAGTAGATACGAGTACTACGAGTTTGTAGTGTCCATTAATACAAATACAAAATACTGCGTATTGTAACATAGTTTCCAGGGCAACCTTATTGTACCTCTTCCCGCTTCCGAGCAGGACAAGGAGATAAAGGATGGAGTGGTTTTAGTCAGTAGGAGTCTGACCCTCCATTGTGTTATTGTTTTATTGTATCAATTTGTATTCTACAAATTAAAAGCTAATAGGAATAATGGTCATTTTTGTTCAACAGGAAACCTTTTTCTAATATGTCCCAATAATGTAAATGTTTTGATCGGTATTGTTGGTCGGACAACTCAGCAGCACTAGCTATACTGGTTGCAAACTGACACTTGCGTGCCTGTCTTCAGAACGGGTCCACTTAAACTGGTGTGGTTCTTTCATCAAAAGTCCACTACAGAATGAACTTGCACGGTTCTTTCACATGATGTTATTTTTACATTGTCTGGACTTGAAAAGAGACTGTCCTCTGAGTTTGTTTCGGCATTTCTTCTCAGAGTAGTCAGATAGGAAATGCCGGCTTCATCTAGTGTTTCACATATAAATTGACGTGTAAAAGTGCCGCTTTATGGCCTATTCGCAAAAATAAATTCATTAACAGTAAAGAAAATACATATACACGTATACGTTTGATATTAACGTAAAAGAAAGAAGATAGATAGCTTTGATACATAATACATATTATATCATCAGCTTTTCTTCGTTAGCGAAAAAATATTTGTGGAAAGCACACAGTGTGTGTGTGTGTGTACTTACACCAGTTATACATACATGTGTACATAAGTAGACATGTTAAAATGTTAAATTGGCTTACTCTTACCGGCTTACTTGATGTTGTGACGACACACAGAATTTTATATCACGCCATCTGACGACCTCTAAAATTAAACTCGGATAAAGCTCAGCTGATTACTTATTTATGTATCGACACTAACAGTTTGCTTATAATTCAGTTGAACTTGTTTGTTTAGCAATACTTTATGCGAACACGTTCTAACAACTTGATAGATTGGTTTTGTTACTCTATAAGCTATAGGTAAGGCGAAATGTATGCAACGCATACATTTCGTAATGTCGAATGAAAACCAGAGTTCCAAGTACGAGTTTGCTTTACGTTATTGCAATCGACATGTTTATGACGTCCGGCGCCCTCATTGGCCGGCTCCAAGTTAACCAACCAATCAGAGAGCTTACCGTTTAAACTTCTCGATCGCGTTAACGCGGAGTAAACACGCACTTTATTATTGCATTATAAAAAGATGGTACGGGATTAACGGAGAAGAAAGCTCTTAATATTAATTAGTAACAATAATTGGGTTCATTGAACTTGTATTAACAGTGTTGTGTGTTTGTGTTCCAGGTATAAAATGTCCGGTGTGCAGCAAGTTTGTGTTGCCGGACGACATAGAGTGCCATCTTGTCATGTGTCTCACCAGGCCACGACTATCCTATAATGGTGAGCATTGATCAAAACAACAATCCAGTAACTAGGTTTACAACATCTATAATTAAAGTGCTTGCTCTGTGAGTTCGAAAATAAGGTAAATTGTAAACGAATAAGTCAATCAATGTATAATTCCGTAGTCTAATCAGTGTCGATTTGGCTCCAGAACATAAACAGAGCACGAATGAGGAATGTTCCTCAATGTTTCCCTCAAAACTTTAATAACTTAATGTTCCACCGCACCGGTATTTCTATATAGCACACAGTCACCTACGTGCTTCCTTGTTTAAACTGAAGTATCCATTAAGTTAATTGCCTTAGTAACTCCCAACGAGATTTGCGAAACAGCTCGACATTATTCACAATGCGTTTCGCCAAGGAATAGTGGAAATAAGCACTTTAAACCGGGACAGAGGCTTTCCATGTAATTACAAGAAAGACTTTGAGTGAAATACCTCATTAACTATTTATGCAGAAGCGGCAAGACTCGCTCGCAAATTATACTTGTCTGTTCTCCTTCGCATTACTATTTGCCTGTAAGTTGGAGTTGGACGAGGAAATTAATATGCCATTACTCGAGTTTACAATCAATGTAGTGGAGTGTGGTGGAAAACATTAGTTTACGGTATACCTACTCATTAAGGATGAAACTTTATGAAAATATATTAACTTTGTTATATGCTACCTAATTAATATTGAAAAGTAACGAACAGTTTGCTGATGTTGTGGTAAAATGTTCACAGAGGACGTGCTAAGCGACTCGAAGGGCGAGTGTGTGATCTGTCTGGAGGAGCTTTCCGCCGGAGACACAATCGCCCGCCTGCCCTGCCTTTGCATCTACCACAAGGGGTAAGCAGATGTCTTCCTAATTTATATTTCATTTGTAGGTGGTTTAAGAGTCTAATACTCCTGGCCCCACTCAGGTCGGGAGAAATAAATTTATGATTTTCCCCACCCGAAAAATATAAGCCGCTAAAGGCTGTAAACTTAGCCTAGAATGAACTAAAAAGTTGTGATGGTAATAAGTGAAAAGGCTTCAGTTGTTTGAAAATTCTGCCGCTCAATTTTGAATCGAATGTATTATGTTGATTCGTACTACTAATACTCATTATCTAGATAGTATCTGACGATGTCACTCCTCGTAGAAAAAACAAAGAAAAACACCATCATTGTAACTGGAAATATAGAACGTCAGAGATTTGCGCAGCATCATTATAACTAGTTTGTAACGATGACACACGCGATAACTCATCAGTCATCAGGTAATTGCCCGGTGTCAGCGAATGGCTCAGATCCAGTGACTAAACTCACGAACATCATAACATGTTACGTCTGATATAAAATACTTTATAATGTGAGAAAGAATACTCATTAATTGTTAAAACGATATTTTTAGCCTAGTAATTGTTGTGTAACAGTCATTCGCAAATATTTATCTAATCAAGGGCTTTTCAGTGACTACCGACTTTAGTTGTTATAATGACTAATACTTTAAGTTTTTGCACACTGATTCATTTAGTATACTACATCTATGATATCTTTGTTATGTCAGTGACAGGTCTGTTAACATTTGTAGGTGGTTTATTAACATGCCAGTAGTAGAAATGGCGATCTTTTTAAATAGTAAACCCGGCTGAAGTTTTGTCACACTTCGGTTTGTTTTGGCGCCCTGGCGCACCGCCCTAGGACTAAATTTATTTCACATTGACCAAAAATATTTAATTAATTCAGTAAATCATATTGCGAAATGAGTAGCGAATGTGTACGATGTAGGTACGACTAAAGACATCGTGATAGTCAAATACTTTTTGGAAAAGCCGGAGGCTTATGATAACATGATGAAGGCCATAGGAAAATCGCTGACACACAGAATACACCACCTCATTACATATAAGAAAGAAGCTTTTACTTAAAATCGATTGTTCAAACATACGAGTTTGGTTTTTATGTTTACAAATGTCCTATGGCAACAGCTTGATACGTAGTTTTATAATCAAATCATCTGATGTGGGGACAAACATGTAATTGTTTATTCATTGATACTTATTCTATGATTCTTACTAAGCGGATAAAATATGCAATTATCCGGGGAAATCTTGAAATATTATCACGACATTGTAATTGACTGTCGTGTTTCCACAATGACTACATATTGATTATGTGTAAGCTATTCATTATGTTCAGTTTTAAGTTTGTATTGCTGAAAAATCAAATCGTTAATTTGAATATGAAAAGTTAAAAATGTAGGGTTCTATTGCATTCACACAACTCGCAACTCCTACGTTTTACATAGTTAATATACTCGTGAGAAATGAGCTCTCCAAGCCTTCAGCCCTTAGCAACATCGCTGCTGCCTCTCGAGCGCTCCTCAGTAGGCTGTAGTGCAGGGCTCTAGGGCTCAAAGCGCGGTACCTAGACAAAGCTCCGATAAGAGGCTCGCGATCTAGGTCAGCTGATACTCGTCCGGAGAATGTTTGACCTGCACCCTCCCGCCCTCTGTAGCTTAGTAACAAGCAGTAAGCACACCACTTTAGGCAAATAGTACAAAGTGCGTGAGCATGCAATGCTAAGAGCCCATGTTGTGAGCGCCATCTGTTGAGTGCCTTTGCAATATATTTACTTAGTACATGCGCATGTCAAGTAGATGGCGGTAGTTTTAAGATATGTTTTGATACAATATTAATATGTACAATTTGTTTTGTTTCAGATGTATAGATCAATGGTTTGAAGTGAACAGATCGTGCCCGGAGCACCCCGGGGACTAGTAGTGCGGCGCGGCGCCGCCCGTGCCATGTCGCGAGTGATACTTTTATACTGAACTGACTGTGCCCGAGGGCCTTGTAAATATAAACTTATGCTAGTGAGATGTTTTACCGTTTAATGATTAAACAAAAATAAGAAAAAAAACAAAGACAATTATAGTAACGAAACGCTATGGGAAATTCTTGGTGGAGTATTAATATAAATAATACTATAATTATAAATTTTACAACGTTACTGTTTAGTTGGAACGCGGAAATGATAGTTTGTTTTATTTGATATGTATAATGTAAATTAAAATATACTTGTATTGTATGTATAGTGAACGTTTGTTTTGTTTCGCAGTAAGTATATACAGCAAGGGTTATGTTAGTGCTGGACTGTGATTGTCGCGGTTTACATATCTGTTCATTAAGCTTATATATTATAATATATGATTTGATCTTTTTCATCTTGATAATAAAGTTGATTTGTTTCTAAATTTTCTAAAATTGTTTTCTTTGTGTACCCTATTAATTGCTCAGCATTAAGAGTATTAAGACTCGATCTTATGGGATCACAGCCTGTAGGCTTACTCTTGGCTCTCACTCTGAATGCTTGGGACCTATCTTAAGTTACAGCATTAACGCCAGATTGCATTGTCTTAGGTGGATAGTAAATGAACGAAATTGCATTAAGTTTGGCCATGGAAGCCATATTGCTACGATTAGGGTTGTATTGTGTTGAAATAGGATAATAAATAGTGAGATTTTAGCTGTAACTAAAGTGGTACTTAGTTTGTATTTTTTCAAAGCTTTGCCCCGCACTAGGAATTTCTCCAGTGTCGTGGGTGCGTTTATAAACATGCAAGTTTCCATCGCACCCAGACCCGGAACAACAATTTGTGGATCACAAAGAGTTGTTCCGTGTGAGTATTAAACCTGTGAAACATTGCGAGGAAGCCAAAACCGTGCAGTATTGATTGAATTATTGCTTTAACTGTGTTTTGTATGCCAGAAATGGCACTTTATTTAAAATTTTCTTATAATGATGTTTGAATAATGCGTTCTCCAAGGCAAAATAATTTGAATTTGTAGTAGATTATCGCGTTTTTCTTTTGTTTTGTTTATTTAGAAAACCAACAGTGTTACATGTGATATACTACAGAATATGCAAATAACAGTTCTGGACGGCCAATAATAGGTTTCCTTGCTTAACAAATCAAATATTAAATTAAAATGTGAATGGAATTAAAATTTAAAAACACAAAACCTATTTTTCGTTTTAGAAAAAATAATGAACAGTACCTTAAATAACAGTTAATTATTGATGCGTTACAATTTTTTTTATTTAAAATGAGTTGTTTTATCTTTTTATGAGGAGAAAAGTAAATATACATTCTTGAGGTCCTAGATCTCAGCTGAGGAGCAGAGACAGAGAAACCTCCCTCGCCTGCTCGTCAACTAAATAATGCTAATTGAATTTTGAAGTTTTATGGCCTATTTGCAAAAATAAATTCATTGTTTCATTGAATATTATCTGTTGTACCTAACAGTTGATTTAACATCTACAACAGTTTGCTGTGAAATATACCAAATAAAAATTACTAGAAAGGTAGGTCACAGCTAGCTAACCTAACCAGATGCAACACGGGCAATGTTAAGCTTTACGTCCGTGAAGTTAGTCTGTCAAAACTGCAATAAGACTTTTGCATGTTGCATTTGTTCTATTATTAAAATTAAAAATTCGGCGAGAAAGGGTAGCTCGCCGCCCGACTAGCAAGAAAGACAAATATTTTTCTAATTTGACAGGAACCAGACCCCACCGTAAGTCAGTAAGAGTCTGTCACTCACTCTCGCCTTAGACTGGACGAGAAAGGAAATTAAATGCACCACCCTATTAAATAAAATCCCTAAGCAGCACTATAATACAGTTGACGCGGTGGTTGGGGAACCAGTTGTCGTGCAATGTATCGCGGATTCGATTCCTACATGGAACAACTCTTTGCGTGATTGACTAAATGCCGGGTGTCAGTTTGAAGTGAATATGTAATTGTATGTTTGTTTGTCACCACGACACAGGAGAAAATCTTAGTGTGGGTCAATGTTTTTAATACTGATAATGAAATAAAACAAAAACGATTGGCATAATTATGATATACAGTTTTTATTTGACAACTACATACATTGAGCACTAAATGTGCGAGTAAACTAAAACTTACTGACAAACGTGTCTATTTTCTTTTAAATATTCAGTTGTAACACTTAGCAGGGGTATTATTTACAATTATGATGTTTAATCAATAAAAATGCAACAATGAGAGGCTTCGATTATCCAAACAAGTCAATATCTTTTGTGAAACGACTGCCATCAGTCCTTCACGAACACGATTGTTATACATTTCATTCATTTAGGTGTAAAAGTTCAAGACACATTAAGTTTCCACTTAATGAATTATTTCACCCAAGCGACGTAGGATAGGTGAATAGAGTCGACACAAGTTTTCCTTTCGTCCGCTTGGGAATGAATTTACCACGGTCTAAGGTTAATTTTTACTTTAGTGGTTAAAAGTTGATACCCTCGAGTGAATACTGTGGAATAAGTCACATGAGGATAGCATTTTTATATTGATGAGGAGTTGCTTCGTAATCATGTCCAATTGTAGGGTAAAGTATATGGTAATTAAGAGATTGGTAGCTCTGTATATGCGCAGTATGTGTGGGTGCATCACGCCAGGGATGAGTGCAGCGGCACCCTGGTGAGGGCGTGAGGTCATCGCATGAAGGAGCGGTGCCGCGGACCTCGAGACATGCGCCCTGCGCCGCCCCAGCCCATGCCACCTGTGTAACGACGTATTATTTATTAATTGATTCTATTATTTATATATTGGTAGTCTGTATCATGTATATCACAAATGTAATGTACGAGAACGCTGGATAATTTTATGCCGACGCCCGTGATCACGTTTCATATGTAATTATAATTCATTTCATTTCATTTGTGATAATAAAGATGAGAAAAGATTTCATTAATGAAGCTGCCTGGCTTGCACACATAATGTTCTCTTTCACATACTACATTAGATTGCCCGGTACACACGCACCACGGCTAAAAAATCTTACACGAAACATTAAATTTAACAGGGTCACTTTGCAGATGGAATAAGTTTGCGCTTTGTATATTTTCACAATATTTTATGGTTATTACTAAATAATTATGCCCACTGGAAAGCAAGTTGACGTAAGAATGAGAAAAGGAATTTGTGTTAAAGTCTTTCAAAACAAATTCAATTTGACTGCACGATTGGCGCGGTGGCCGGGATGCCACGCATCATATTGCGGGTTCGATTCTCTCACGGAATAACATTTTTTTTGTGTAATCGACAAATTGTTGTTTCAGGTCTGGGTGTGGTATGTATGTGAATCGTAAACGCACTCAGGACATAGGAGAACATCCTAATGAAATAATGTGAAAATCAACAACCCGCCAACTTAGGTACACCAACCACGGAGATTCTGGCCAAATATTTTAATTATACACAAGGTAAAAAGCTTAACCGTCGCAATTGCCGCGCACAAATATAATAATAGGCAGGCCATTGATAGAAAAATTTGAAAAACTGAATGATATTTCTGTCATTCACCATGAAATGTTTAAGTGAAACCATGAATGACTATAAAATGGTCTAAACGTTACTCACCCATCATATACTGCGAAGCAGGCGGGAAGTGTCCAAAGTGTGAGGCTCCCATCTCCCAGGCACCGCGTCCGCGACTGTGTAAATAATAATAAATCATTTTATAATCAGCAAAAACATTGTTTAATGAGATATTGGACTTTCTGTTATCTTCATCTGCATAACAGTGACATACATCGTGAGTTTATCACTTGTCTTACTTAAGTTATCAGATTGAGGCACGGTCAGTATAAAATACTGCATGAAGCAAGCAAGGTATGTGTTAGTGCAGTTACAAACCGGTAGAACCGGCAGACTTGAGCAAACTTGAGGAGGGGGCTAATTACGTCATTGGTAACTTCACTCATACGGACATAAACAAATCACGCACACTTGACTCTCCCAATGGCTCTCCCACAATTGACTTTATTAGCTTAGTAAATTTTGACATATGAAGGGAAGGACATTAAAATAAAGGAGTTTTTTCGGTTTGATCTTATTTCACTTCACTTACTATTTTACATGCACCTAACTCGGACGGATTTGAATTTGGCCAGATACAAATGGACGTCGATGCCTAGTACGGACCTATGTATTTTTAATAGAAATAAATTAAATTATAGCATACAATAAAAGTTTGGATTAACCAAAGGTTGGTCAACAACCACGGAATAGAAAATACAGTGGAAGTGCCGTTCAGACATCGCGCGCTAACCAACACCATGACTAGATATACAACATTTTGGCACATTTGTTGTCAGAATCGTTCGATCCGTTGTCATGATTGGTTGTCATGGTTGTCTCTAAGAAACACGTAATATATTAGAAATTATGCCTTGTTGTGCGGTTTTCAACTGCAAAAAAGTAAGCAGAAAAAAAGATGAGTCTTGTGGTGGTGTATCGTATCATCTTTGAGTATTAACCTTTGTTAATTTTAAATATATTTGATTTTAATGTAAATATCACATTTCATTACTTCAATGCAAACTATAAAGGGCCTTATTTTCATTACAGTTAAGTTTAAATCTACTTGTTCGTTATGTGACGTTATATACAATACATTCTAGTAGTTTCGACGCTACTCATTTAGGGATGCGACATATTCGTAAAATAGGTTCATATCGATAATTTTTCATCATCGTTCAGAAAATTGATTTTTGACAATTTTTGTGTATAATTCAGTCTGTGGCAGGTGCGGGTGGTTAATCACCATTTTTATTTTATAACTAGTTTTCGCCCGCGTGCTGTGTTGATAAAAAGCAGCAAATATCAATAGAACAAAATCTAAGTATACATAAAATTTGGTATTTATCGTCTCATTTTTATGGGTACATCTCCAATGGGTAAATACCCTATTACTTACTAAGTCTCCGTAGTCCGTCCGTCCATAGATAGAAAGGCACGGATCTAACTAATAGGTAAGAGTTACAAATATTTGATAAAACCTATATTATATTATATTTTATACCGCATCGTATCGAGCACGGCCACCGCTACACAAAAATAATTCTTATACCATGATTCAGTGTTCACTTGCGACGGCGCTATGTCTTATTATCCGAATTGCTAAGCTATCAGGAGTTACACGTGTTATTGTGAGTTAACCATAAAAGATAGACATATGCTGTAAAACATTTTATTTAGACAATTTTATTTAAAATATTTCCGTCATACATAATTTCTATGTAAGTTTAACCATTAAGGTTACACACGCGACTGAAACTTACAAAAGGGAGTAACTTCTCCCGTTTTCCCAACATTTTCCTTCACTGCTCTGCTCCTATTATTTGTAGCGTGATGAAAAGTATCCTATAACCTGCCCAGGAGTATAAAGAATAATTGTACCAAGTTTTGTTCAAATCCGTCGAGTAGTTTTTGTTTCTATAAAGAACACACAGACAGACAGAGACAAAATTTTTACTGATTGCATTTTTGGCATCAGTATCGATCACTAATCACCCCCTGGTAGTTATTTTGAAAATATGTTTAATGTACAGAATTGACCCCTCTACAGATTTATTATAAGTATATGATTTAGATGTTGTACATGATTTTTATCAGAGTTCCAAAAAGGAGAGTGACTCTCAATTCGACTGTAACATTTTTTTTGTTTTTTCGTCTCCGTTATTTATGGAAAGGAGATAAAACTTGTAGGAGCGCGTAGTGCTTTTATATGTTAAAATCGAAATCTTTAATAATAACTTGACCATCTCCAAAAAACATTAAATCTTTAAAAAATATGTTAATATTTTTCTCTTTTTCTATTAGAACCTTTTTCATTACTGATCATTTGTAGGTATATCGTGTCGATAAATTATATTGCTCACACGAATACAAAAACATCGATATATTGGGATACCCTGCCCTATCTGAGTAGCAAAATAGTAAATGTCTATTGGTACAAGTGCATACAAATATGACATCTATTTCAAAGAAGTTAGCGTTTTGAATAGAATGAATTTGTTACAGCGCCATCTAGCGTTGAGTGGCTGAACCCGTTTGTAAATTGTTTTATTTAAGTTTTTTACACGATAGGCGCCTTTATTGATTGTGACATGTGAAATGATAACAACTTTCGCTCATTGTTATAAGACTCAATTTTTAACAACATTTAAAAGATGATTTGCTAAAGTTGCGTTTCATCTTTTTACCCAATTATATAGCTGTTTTTTATGTGTGTAATGGACAATTTGATTTGCGAATGTGTGATTTTGGCGACACTGGTTTTCCTTTTGAAAGAGTGTAGGGGCACTTCTACTTAATTTTCTGTTCTGTGTCAACAACAGATGCCATTGTTGAACTCCTTAATCATAGTTTTGACGCTTTGGGATTATTTTGTGATTTATCCAAGTCGTTCGATTGTATTCCTTATGATACATTAATCAGAAAGCTATCCCATTAGAGAATAAGGGGTACATATCTAGACGATCTCTCCTACTTTAGTAACAGAGTTCAGAGTATTAAAGAAAACGGAAAAACACTTTATTGTCTTTTCTTTGGATGGGAGTTCCGCAGGGTTCGATTCTTGGCCCCTTTTTATTTCTTATCTATTTCAACGACTTACCTTACCTTGTAAGGGATAAATATGAGATAGTATTGTTGCTGATACTGCCCTATTATTCAAATACAGACGGCGACAATTAGTTATTTACAATGAAAACAGAGCTGTTTTAGAATAATGGGGAAAGTTGACATTCAGTGTTTTGGTTCTGCAGAAGAGCTATTAGATTAATTTAGAAATCTTTACCTATCCGACGTAGTCGCTAAGGGAGTTAAAGGAAATTAAAATAATGACAGTGCCTCTCAATTTATCTACTTGGAGCATCTGGAAATTAAAATAATTATAGTTGCCTCCTAATATATCTATTTGGAGCACTAATCGATGCTTCTAAAGACAAGTACTTGGTGGGAAATAAATAGTTTGTACTCACAGGTGTCGGTGATGGGCGTGCATGGGAGCGGCCGAAGCAAACCGACCGCGGTCTGCCACAGCAATGCCTCGCCGCATACCTCTGTAAAGACAATAAATATATATTTATTATTATTAAACTTGTAACTTTGTGGAACAAACCAAATTCACGCTAAGATTTATTGAAGACTATGAAGAAGTAATACCAGCCAACAAATTAGAGTAGAGTAGAGAGTTGAGGATTGGATCGAGATTAGATAAGACCCTGACCTGGTGAGCTGCGTGGCGGTGTAGGGCTGGTGAAGGGCGGTGAAGTCGTCGACGTGCAGCGAGGGGGGGCGCGACGTGTTTGGCGGACGCGACCGGAACGCGTCCGCGCCCCCCTCCGCGCGTACCCGCGACAGCGCCACCGGCGGCCGCTTGTCGTCCCGCGGCGCGGCGTCGGCCCCGGCTGCCCCGCCCCCGCCGGGCCCGGCCGCCGCGCCCAGCGCCGCGCAGCCCGCCAGGCGCCGCACCGCGCTGCACAGCGCCTCCCCGCCCCCCGCCACCAGCTGCGACGCCAGCGACACCACGTCACACGGTACCTGAAATACCATATCAAACATCCAGAAAATAAAGCCGTTGAAACCATTATACTGTGTAATTATTTTTATATCAATAATAAAATAGAAAGACTGAATCCCAGAATTGGAATCCACACCCTTATACAGGGAGGTCCACATTATATGCACCTTATTTTACCCTATTGCCAGCACTCACCAGCTCGCTATCATTGACGTCGTCTTCGCCCCCGGCGGCGGGCACGTTGAGCCAGTAGCTGGAGGTGAGCCTCTCGTCGCTGGCGTCCCCGAGGGAGTAGATGGTCCGCGCCTGGAACTGTGCCACCAGACTCTCTGGCGCTGGTAGCACCATCTCCTGCACCTCGGGAGGAGTGCCCGGCTCCTCCAAAGTTTTCAGCTTCTGCAGGTGACTGGCGAGGAAGCCCGCATTCGCTAGGGCATCTTCGTCAGAGTTTCTTTCCTGAAAACGGTGATTAAAATTGCTGTGTTGTTCTCTTGGCTGTGGAAGGAAAGTCTACGCTTAATATATGTCTACAAACACGTGGGTACTAGCAACATGCAACATGAGTGTCTAACATGAAATATTTATGGGTTTGACAATTAAGTATAGCGGGTAATGGCAGGAGGGGTTACCATCGGCGTCAGGGTCTCTTCCTCGACAGCCGATAGAACTCAGCATTTGCGGCGGGATGACGGAGTGGCAACAAAGACTGCCTTAATCGATAGATTTGCCATTATCAAGGAGGTATGTCTCCCCGGCATTGGAAAGTCGACATCCGCTTCTACGAAATAACATCCTTAACGTCGTAGGAGACGCTATGGGCAACGAGAACGATCTCTGACCGTCGACAAGGTGGTGAAGATATAGGGGGTTTTCCTTCTCTCACAAAAAGCATGAGATCAAAAATAAATATGTTGTATAAGCTGTTAAAATTATGCATAGAGTTAGGGGACTAGTAGGACAATAATACTCACTCTAAAAATTATATCCAATTTGAGAACAGGATGCTCCTCGTCAGAAGGTGAGTACCCCACCATGTCAGCCATCTCACCCACTGTGAGCATTGTCTTCCGACCCACTGACCCTTCGCCTTCTTCCATCTTTAGGATCCTGATGAGATCTATATACAAACTCAAACACTCTGCTTTATCTTCTCCCTGGCCTTCTAAGGCCCATTTGAAGAACTTTCCGAGACTTTCTCTCCTCTTGGATACGAATTTCCTGAACTGTTGGAACCCATACTCATGTTCCGTAAGCACGAAGTACGTTCGGAGTATAGACGACGCTACAGAGCAGGTCTTCGTAGTGGACTCGAGGCAGTCGGCCGTAGAGTCTAAAAATGCGACTAAGGCGTCTTTGTTCGGCAAAGAGTTTGATAAAATGATGTCTGTCGTACCACCTACGGGGGTAAGTGTAATCTCAGCATCACAGAAGGCGGCCAGTGCGTGCGCCGCGTACTCTTGTGCCGCCGCGTGTTCGTGGCTGGCGTTGGCCAGTCCCAGCACCGAGCACAGCGCGGTCTGGACGTCGGTCGCCCGGGGGCTGCCACCGTTCATAGCATGCAGTACCGCGCACTTGACCGGTGCGTGCGACACTAGGCACGCTAGAAAGCCCAGCACTCGCGCCACACTGGCGGTGGCTGGCTCTGCCGGCTTCAGTTCCCGCATCACGGCGCCAACAGCTGCCCGAGCGACCGTGGCCGCGGTGTTAGGGGCGAGGTCAGCTATTTGCACACACACTCTGCGCAGCATGTGCACCACTGGCCGGTAGGTCGACATGCAGATTATCTGTATCATATCCGTCAAGTCGTTGGATAGTGCGTGGAGATGGGCTGACCATAGTCGTCTCTCGTTAGATGCATCTGCTAATTCCCGGTCTGTAGGCGGCGTCTTAGTTTGCATTGGCAGTGGTAGTGGAAGAAGTTCAGAGAAGACTAGCAGGCCTGGTACGAACGTGTACGGAGCTGTCGTGATGTATGAGATCACTTCGGAACAGAGAGAAGTCCAAGGACCTCTGCGGATGGAGTCACCGTCGTTAGCGTCATCAGCTATCGGTTGAGCGTAAGCTAGTAATGATCTCACTGAAGCCTCCGCAGCTTTGGCAGCGGTTCTGTACCCCACCGACCCTACTGGGTATGCCTTCGCTATTCCGTATGTTTTCAATAGAACAGGAGCTGCAGTCAAGTCACGGAATCTTGGTCCTCGGCAGCGAACTACTCTAGATAACATTGAGTCTAGTAGTCGAAGACACGGCAGCAATATCTGTGCAAGCTGCAGACCTTTCACCGAGGCGAAAAATGAAGTGTGCATACTGGGTTGGTCGAAATGTGTAGCCAATCGGTCCAGGACTCCGGCCAGGTGAGCCACGCCGTCCAGGGAGAACAGTTGCAGCACGTTATACTTGTATTTGAGCTCTACATATTCCTCTGTTGCGGACTCGCAAGCAATTGTCACATTGTTTTCGTAATCCGATATACAATAGTGCCGCAAGATTCTCAAACATGTCATCAGCTCTCCTGGCAGGTCAGGAGCGTGTTCTAAGGTCGCCTTTAGTATTTCCACGCACTCTGTCATGTCTTCCCCAGACAAAACTGTTGGATTTTCAACAGGCTTCAGATAGGGAGTAACTTCCTGCAGTACGCTCGACACGCTTGGCTCGAATCTATCGTGTTCCTTGGATACATTAATGAGTCTTTGTCCATATTTCTTCAAGAATGGCACATTGGCAGCGAACCTCACTGCAGAGACGATCAACTCGATGGCATATCCCTTTGCTGGAGATTTTTGTTTTAAAGGAGATTCATTTTTAGTCTTGGATTTCAAATCGTTCTCGAACACCTCCATCAGGCATTCAGCATTATCACCCATAACTATGACGTCCGGCACAGCAGTCCTGCCGATGCTACCGAAACTGAGACAGTAAAGAGATTGCAGCCGATCGATCAGTTCGTTTTCATCCGCCTTCCCTGCTTGCTGGTCGCATATTGATTGCAAGTAATATAAAGCCTTTAATCTGTAAGCAAGTTCCAAACCCAATATTTGTAGGTCGCTATAATTGCTCAGGTCGTGAGGGTAGACAAAGTCCTCAGTATTCTGTTGACTGTACGGAAGAGTCAGTGTCTTGAACAGCAGTCCACTCATCTCTATGTTGTTGTAAAGGAAGTTCAATCCATTTTGAGAATTAATTAGTTCGTAGATCAAATCATGGATGGGACTTACTACGACCAGATTATTACATGTCCCGGGACATGTTAATAGATACAAACAAACTTCTAGAATCTGATGGATATTGAAGAACTCTAGTAAGGTTTCATTAGAGCATTCTTTACTGATCTCGAACTGAGCGGACACGGGAAGGAAACGCTTTGGCTGTGACAAGTGGAAGCACTGCGACCGATACATATGCAATATCTCCTCGAAAGAGTTCACTATGAAATGCGAGTCAGCCTCGGAGAGCTCACAATCATCTCCTGATTTACTGAAGTCTATTACCAAATTCCGTAGTTTGTGTAATAGTTCGTAAATGTTCAGTTTTTTTATCAAAGCGCTGATGGAGAACTTCAGCCTGGCTAGAGGATTAGTTTGCATCATCTTTATTAAGGCTTGATAACCATTTCTCGGTTTTCTGTCATCACTTTTATCAAACTTAGGGAAAATAGTTTCCTTCATGAAATGATCTATGGACTCCTTCGAAGAGAGACAAGCGTTCAATGCTTTCAAAATCATGAGACGAATACTCAAGGCCATATATTCCCTGGAATACATATCCAGCAGCAACATAGGCATGTCCACGCCAGAGGAGAGCAGTAGTTTCATCACATCTCCATTGTGTCTGTGGCCCATCAGAGCCTCAGCGAGCCGTATGCCGCACTTCATGTGGCGTATCTTGTAGGTCGGCTGTTGTTGTGCCAGAGCGAAGTCAAATGTCAGTCCAATCTTACAGAAAGATACCAGCAGTTGATATATCTCAGTAAATTCATCCGAGGAATCATTACGATTTGGATTCTTAAAGATTCTTAGGACAATGTCTGTATTTTTAAAAAGTGTAGTAATTGAAACGAAAAGTTGTTCACACTGATGCACCCACTCCTCTCTCGCTGTGTTGTCAATTTCAAGAAATGTGTTCGCGAAATATATTTGGTCTAACTTCTTATTAGATTTTGCTAATTCAGAGATCTTAAATAATTCTGGACTAGCATCACACAGCTCATCAAATGTCGCAGTCAACACATCCTTGGCACCCTCTTTATTGGGTCCTAACAAATGTATCTTATTAACGTACTCATACTTATTCCACTCACATTTGAAAGGATTGTAATATTTGATGATGTCATCTACGCCGCAGTAATCATTCACGTCATAATCAACTTCCATGTAAGAGGGACCCTCCAGATCATCGCAAATATCTTCGTCTGATAAAATGGGCTCAAACTGTTCTGCATCCATAGATCTGTCTTCGTCGACATTGCGGTTCGGTGATTCCCTGGGCTTCGTGGAAGCGTTGTCAACTATTTGTACAGTGACCAAGCTGCTATGTTGTTGTTCTGCATAGACCGCATTTTCTGCTTCTTGAGAGGGACTTCGGATAGAAGGTTTGTGTCGATAACTCTGGTGATAGAAGTCCACCCTTGGAATTTGTTTTCCACTTCTGTCGTAGTCAGCACCTTCTTCTGAACGTATGGAGTTGATGGGGCTTGTAGCATCCACCTCTCTTGGAGACAAAGGTCTCCTGCTACTCTCTCCTGGCGGAGTTCTTGGTCGCTTTCGAGGATCATCTCGGCTTGGGGAACGGCTACTGTAACTCGACCCTCTGATGCGACTATAGGGAGAGTGACGCTTCCTGTCATAAGAAGATTGTTTCTCGTATGAAGGAGCCCTTCGCTCATACGACGAGGCCCGTTTTTCATACGGAGACAACCGCTTCTCATAAGGAATTTTCCTCTCATACGATGGAGCTCTCTTGTCGTATGGAGAGCGACGGTCATAGGAACCGGCATCTTTATCGTAGGATCCGCCACGAGATCTATCGTAGGACGGCTCGCGGTGTCGGCGGTATTCATCTTTCTTGTAAGCGCCCCTGTCCCAGTCCCGGTCATGGTCGCGGTCGGTAGACATTCCTCGTAGTCTGTCGATGCTACGGGATCGTGATCGGCTCAGAGGCCGATATTCTCCTTTCACTACATAATCTCTATCGCGACTCCTGGATCGAGATCGAAGTCTATCCATCCTATCGATCTCCCTACTTCTATCACGAAGTCTAGAGGACTCGCGGCTTCTTCCTCTATCGAGAGAACGTCTCCGACTGCGCGCATCTCTTCTATCTCGGTCGTGATCGATAGAGCGCGGGCTATGCCGCATCCTGTCAGGCTCCCTTTCACAGCTGAGGTCTCTCTTCTCCCAGGTATTCTCCTCCATGTGCTGGTAAGTCCTTGGATCTTTTGGTTGTTCAGCCTCATAGTAATCTCCTCTGTACATCTGTCCCTCATAGTTCTCTGGGTAGTTGTTAGGACCATATACATCTGGGTTAGCAGAAGCCACATTACCAGTGTAGGCCGGTATTGGGACTGAGGGCTCTTGGTTCCACTCAGGGTTAGGTGGGACAGCTGGCGCAGGAGCTGGTGGCACCTCCCGGGTCACGACAGGTCTCTGCACTACTGGAGGGGGATTAGCACCCACTGGAGTTTCAGGTAGCACTTGGGTCAGGTTACCATAGACGGCCAAAGTGATTGTTGTGTACCATCCTGGAATGTATAGCAATAATTGAGGTTTATTTGATGAAATGTTTTGCTGGACACTCTTCTATTTGGACTACATCAATATTTCATAAAACTTCACATAACTTGTTGTAGGAAAATAAAATTAGCAGCTGTAATTTTTGTATACTCAAAAATGTTATGCTGGTTTAAGGAATTTTTTTTTATTAATCTTCATGAGATTACATGTCAGCCCAGAATAATATACCACAATGATAAAAGGCAGAAAATCAGTAGAATGAAAACAAATAGAATATATCGTCGCTCCAAAGGTAAAGTAGCCAAACTGACATTTTGACGATTTTGGGTTTTTTATAGAATTGCCATCGTTACTATAATATCTTCAGTGTGGTAAAATATCATAGCTCTAGCATTTGTCGTTTTGAAGATATTGCCATTGTTTCTTGTGCATATCTGCATTAAATTGAATTTGTACAATAGTAAACTTTTCTATGTGATATTCGTTCAGTTTACCTGTGCTGCATAATGTTACTTTTCGTAATACCCACAATCGTCAAGTGGCCTATGTGGTACATTGAATACTTTACCACAAGGCAAAAGTGTAGTGAAAAGTTAAATCTTGCAAAGGTAAACTAGCCAAACTGGAAGATTGAATACTTTACCTTGGTCCATAAAACAATCGGAATGCTTAAACTCACAATATTCTATTAGCCGAAGTGGCACATTGAATACATTACCTTTGTAGAAAAGGCAATCGAGACACTAAATAACCAGTGTAATATTATTCTAAGTGACAGATTGAGAACTTTACTTTTGTGTGTTTATGCACTCGAAACAAATTTAAAATAGTTAATAGCAGTTTTATTTCGCAGATTTTGTGAATTAATATCAGTTTTCAAATATTAATAAAGGAGTATGAAGCATAATCGGGTTAAAACTTAAAAACCGATAAAAGAGATGTTTGTAAAATATCGATTTAACTGTCATGGAAGTCCCTAGTCTACATTCTTGTGCATCACTACAAATCAGCTGATTCAATTGCCTGAATTCGTGCGACGACGACGCCGTAATTGTTTTATCTTGTTTCTTTAACTGTGTAAAAATGAACAGAAGATATTCACGTGCCCACCAGATCCTCAAAAATGCAGGTGTGATTAACAGTACAGACGAAGAAAGCGATAATTCTGGTAAGACTTAAAAAAAAAAATAACCTCAAAAACATATATTCCGAAAACTATTTGTGCTTTCAATTAAATTATTATTCTAACTGTGGTTGCTCATAATAATATGCTTTGTGATATTAATTAGTCTTAATTTGCTTTGCCTACGCTTTAAAAAAAAGTGTTCAAAGTATTTTTTGTAAAAAGGAGCCAACTTGTTGATTTTCAAATGTTTCGCTGTTTTGTTGAATTGACACATTTGAGTTTTGTTTTTATTAAGGACTTTTCCTTAATAAAAACAAAACTCAAAGGAAAAGTTCTTAATAAAAACAAAACTCAAATGTGTCAATCACAAGCACAACTAGTTTTAAATACTTATTTTTATTTATAAATGTTCGGCCAGATCGCAAGTTAACTAAACACTAATAGTAATTATTAAGTATTGTATTATTACTGACTATTGTTTGGAAAATTTCCGCGACTAAATGCCAATGGTAATGAAATTATTTGGTAATGAATAATGTTAATAGTTTGAGCTTTTTTATGTTACCCTACATAATGCATGATTCCATATACCTAATGTTTGTTTTGGCTGTGAGTTAGAAGCTTATTTCTTTTTCATACGGAATTTCGATCGTAGCTTGATTCAGAACATGGTCTTGAGGCTTATTTTAAACATCACTGTAGTATTAATTGCTTTAACTAATGCTAGGTATCTGAACTTACCTGCGAAATTTGGTTTATCATGCTTTGGTTTTGGATATGCACAGTTTTTTTTTCTTGCTTTACAGATATAATAGAAAATACGCCTAATGCTAGCCCAATGCACTGCAATGAGGAAAAGGCTAAACCAAGTGAGTTTTTCTTATTTCAATTACGTCAGTTTTTTTTCGGCATCTTATATACCATAGGTATACCTACATTTATTTTTTATTTTTTAACAGCGCATCTGGAGGTTTACAATCCATCCTCCATACAAGCTTGTGGGGTTAACGAAAAATGTACTGCAGTTTCGTCTTACATCCACGATAAAGAAACTGAAGTCGGTGAAATAAGCATTGAAGCACCAGCTTATTCGCCACTGACTCCTAGACCAGTTTATGGCGTTGGTGAAAGAAGTGTAGAGGTATCTGATATTATTTCACCGTTGCCTTTTGTAATTTGTCCTACAGTGGTGAAAACTAGTGCTATTCTAGTAAACTCTCCATCTTCCTCCCCTGTGCCGGACATGTCACCCGCAACTAGTAAAGTTTTTCATATGTTGATTGGAGCAGAGCAAGACAGTGATGATTCCGTAGCGGATCCTAATTATGAAGTAGAATATAATGATATTCCTTGCGACGATAGTTCAGATGATCAAAATGAATATCGCAATAAACATGTTGAGCAGAATCATGATGGTAGTGAATCACCTTCAATATTGACAGAAGTATTAGATAACCTAGAAAGACAAGATGGGCATGATTTCTTAGCATTACAAAACATAGAAGATCAAGAAAACTTAAAAGAAATTCCAAAGAAGAGAAAAGTTAGAAATCCTAGCACATGGAAGACAAATATTGAAAAGCACAGACGGTTAAAAGGTGAATCATACAAAACTAAAAACGGTATAATAAAACAAGCCAGACCCATAAAGCAAGCTAAATGTGCATTGAGTACGAAACATAAATGCATATCACAGATTCCCGAAGATGAACGAATTAAAATTTATACTCAATTTCGAAACTTAAAAAGTTTACACGATCAGCGGCAATTTATTATAAACCATGTTATAAAAAAACAGAAAAATCGGGCTACGACCGAAGGACTTTCACGAAGAAATTATACACTCGCTTATACACTGACTGTAGCTGGTGAAAAAATAAAAGTTTGCCGTGAGTTTTTTTTAGCCACCCTGAACATCAGTGGTGGATTTGTAAAAGGTGCTTTAAATAAAATAAACTCCGAAGGCATTTTAACACCAGACTGCAGGGGCAAAAAAGTTCCTCCCAATAAATTGAGCTCGGAAGATGAAACTTTCATTCGCGACCACATTTTATCTTATCCTGCCGTGGAATCCCACTATTGTCGACAAAACAGTGAAATGAGATATTTAGACGCCTCGTTAAATATAGCTACATTGTATAAAGAATATGTAAAACTCTGTGAAACAAAATCAATGAAGCCAGTCAGCTCCGAAAAATATCGCTTATTTTTCCGAACCTATAAACTGAATTTTCACAAACCCAAAAAAGATCTGTGTAAACACTGCATTGCGTATAAGGAAATGAACATTAAGGAAAAGGCGGAACATCAGGAAATTCATGCCCTGCATCTGAGTCGTAAAGATGAAGCACGGAAATGTAGGGATGAGGATAAAGAGCAAGCACAAACTGACGACAAAACCCTTAGTTTTAATTTTGATTTAGAAGCTGTCCTCAGCACCCCTAAAGGAGCGGCTGGGCCATTTTTTTACGTGCGTAAATTAGCTGTTTATAATTTGACGGTCTACAATTTAGGTAACCGAAACGTAGAGTGCTACATGTGGGATGAGACCGAAGGAAAACGCGGCAGTATAGAAATATCCACATGCATCCATACGTACATCATGGCACATAATGATATTAAAAATGTAAAAATGATGTCGGATGGCTGTGGTGGTCAGCAGAAAAATTATCACTTCAGCTCCATGTGTTTATTAACAGTTACACAACATCCTACTTTAAACGTTATTGATCATAAATTTTTTGAAACCGGTCACACGCATATGGAATGTGACTCAATCCATTCGAAAATTGAAACAAAAGCAAAGAACGTACCTGTGTACACTCCAGATGGTTGGGCGCAGTTAGTTCGGTTAGCAAGAACTAACCCAAAGCCTTTTAATGTAACAACATTAACTCACGACGATTTTAAAGATTTTGGTGTTCGTAATCAATATCTTAGTAAAATCTCAAATGGACGAAAACTTGGAATACATGATGCAGTTTGGCTGCAGTACCGGAAAGAGGATCCTGATAAAATATTTATTAAGGACACCTATGATAAAAACATACCATTCCAAGAAATACACCTTAAAAAGAAAAGAGGAAAGACAGTGGTTTACCCCGTTTCGGCATATTCACAGAGACTAAAGATCTCCTCACAGAAGAAAAATGATCTCATAAAATTATGCCAGGATGGTCAAATTCCTAGAATATACCATCCTTTTTACGAAAATCTTCCTTCCTCAGAAACTGTAAAAGACTGTCTTCCAGAACCGGACGTGACTGAAGACAGCGAATAGTGGTGTTATAATAAATAAATAAATAATAAATATGAATAATGTCGAATTTTGTTCGAATAAAGAAAAAATGTTTGATTTGTTGATTTTCGAATACTTCATAAATTCACATAGATGTTAAATGATTATGAGACTTAGGTAAACAGACAGTTCCTTTTTGTTAGTTGGTATATTTTTTTGAGATACTTTATAATGTTTAATTTGTTATTTTTTTAATAATTATCCTCGTTATATTATATAAAGAAGTTTATGTTTAATTAGATAAGTTTAAAAAAACACATATGCTATGTTTCAAATACTGTCTTTAAATAAAACGATACCTTTGATTTGTTTAACGCCTTTTCATTTGAAACAATATCCCGAGACTACCTATCCCGAGTTACAGGGACTGTATAGATACAGTCCCAATATCCCAGGGTGGAATTTTCTAACTGACTATCTATATGATAACAATAAAAATAGATATTATTGCTATTACTCAGCTTGCTTTTCGGTACTATTCTTATTATAACAAAAAAACCTTATCATAAGAAAATAAAAAAGCCTGATTTTAATACAGTTTGGCTAGTTGACTGTCAAAAAATGTATAATTATAGTATGTTCCACTGCAGTCAATTTACTTATCTCCCAGTTTGGCTACTTGAACACATCAAAATTATACTTTTTGCCTCATTATAAACATGGTAAATAGGCCAATCTGCTTTAATTTCTTATATAATGTAAAATTTGGAATTCTAACAGTCTCTACTTAAAGTACATTATTTTTAACTAATAAATGTACAAGCATGAAAAGATATCTATAAAACCTGATTAACAGGACCAATTTTTATCTTCATTTCGCTCTCTTGAAAAGTTTGATATTTGCAGATTGGCAAGTTTACCATTTGACTGACGATATTTTTTTGTTAGTTCAGGATACATACTTTAAGACATTATCATGACATTATGTGAATATATCATTGTAACTGGAGTATATACAACGTACAAATTACCTATGTATATGCATATCATAGACTAGCTCACTTCACGACAAGCTTGAATATGATATGAAATATTTGCATTTGATGAACCAGTTAACTATCTATCTGCCACATTGTGTTGTAGTATAGGCAGATAATTTATTAAAAAATATTTTTTTTATGTGAACAATAGTTCTTTACATTAATTACTGGTGCTTCAAGTGCCATTTCATAACACAAGCTTTCGCCTTCGGCTTCACCAACCCTACCTACATACCACATTACAATCAAATCGGTCCATCCATTTTCATATTAAAGAATAAGAAACATACATCCATACATTCTCACAAACTTATACATTACACAATATTAGTAGGACTTATCTGAAATCACTTGACTCCATTGGAAGTGTGAATTTTTACTCAAATGGCTAAATTATGCAGTGTCACAGTTCTAACCTAACACAATGTATAGCTAAGTGAAATGACAATAAATATGATTTAAGACTAATAATAATTCCTGGATAAAATGATGCAACTCAAGTGATGGTGCTTATTTTGATTTTGCCTCCAAAACGTCAATTAGGTTAAATCAGTCATCCCTAAATGATTTTATTTGTTTGGATTGAGTTGACTACACCAGGCTATGTAAGTATTTAATTTTTATCCAAGAAATTTAAAAGCACTTCACAAGCTAAGCAAAGCTATATTAACAGTAGTACTTGGTTGGACCAGTTTTTAAAAGCAGCACTTTGTCCACTTTACAAATTTATTCAAGAGTGCAGAGATGTCTGTAGTAAAATCAAATAAAAACTAAGAATGGTAACACACAAAATGATCTTATGACAAATTTAATCAAACTGTTCCATTTATCTTTCCTGTCTATTAACACATTATATGCTAATAAAGCATTTGAATTTGAATTTGACACTAAAATTACTAACCTCTAAGCACAAGTCCATCAGTTGGGATCCTCGGCTGGTCCAGTCCACTCCCACACTCCATGTGTATCTGTCCATTCTGGCAGTAGTCTAAGCTGCCCAGAGCCTCGAACGTGGATGCACCAGGCTTACTGAGGTCATTTACAAAGAAGTCGATGTGAAACTTTGTAGGGTTTGTTGCTCCAAGACGCACTCCTCCAGGAAAATCCCCTTCCACTCGTGCTCCCAAAGGAATGATACGAATTTCTCTGACATAAACTGACTTCGGGAACTGTACCAAATCCAAATTAAGTTCCTGGAACGTAAATAGTTATAAAGGTTTACATACCTAGGTTACGGTAAAATTGCCGAAACAAGCACCAATCAAAATACATTATTTCTCTTACCTCACTGGTGTCATGGGAGAATGTATCGAAAAACAACAGATCCGGCTGTTCGTTAGCCGACATTTTAGTAATTGTTACATATATCTCATAGAACTAATTGATTTTAAAACATTTTAGACACATGAAACGCGTCGCCTGATCCAAGTATTGTTTTTTGTTTACGACCATCGACACATGAAAAATAGTATAGTGTATGTCTTTTTCATTTACCATATGAGTGAAAGAGATAGAGATAAGCTTAATGTCAAACATGTGAACATTTTAAAATATGATCTGGAATGTAAAATTATGACGTTTGAAATTTAGTGACATTTAGATTGGTACTGCCATATATAAATATTAACAAGTGTGGCTATTATAAATTGTTGTTAAATCAAATTATACTTTTACTGAATATAATGATATACATATGTAACGCTTAATAAATCGACTTTGATTACGAGTAAAGGTATAGTATAAGTCGAACAGAAACAAAGATGTTTATTTTTTTTTTATTTTAGCCATTTGTGTATGAATGTCATAATTATCCGAGGAAAAATCACAACATTATTATAAAGAAATACACAAAAATTTTATTACATTAGTAACATTATTGTTTTCATAATTAGAAGTTTGAAATGTTTTCCTCCAAGATTCGGTGCATGGTCCTACCATGCCCGAATGCATAAGTGACGTCATGTAGGCTGTGCATTCGTGAGGAAAACCACAAATAATGTTAAAGTACCTACTTGACATAGGATTATATTCTTGTTTATTAAGCTGGATTAATCGTCTCTAGTGGTATGTCAATCAAGGCCTTATGCCTCAGTACAGATCGGGTACGGAGAGACGCCACGGTGTGCTCACCTTCTGTCTGACGCAGGCTCTTACCGATCATGGAAGCTTCGGTAGGTAGCTGTTTCGGATTCGATCTCGGCTGCGGTTACCAAAACATTATGCCTTTCATTTTTAGATATAAAGATCAAAATCAAGATTTTTAAAGAAGAACCACTAGTTCCGGAGGTTAGCGCGTTCAAACAAACAAACGCTACATCTTAAATAATATTAGTATCGTAGTAGATATTCAATATGGTAAGAGCACAGAAGAGTAAAAACGGTAAGAGACAAATCGTCGTGTCGCGTTCCGATATATATATGAAACCAGGGCGTTCTGTCGCGACACAGCATGCTAGTCCACGCGTCATACCTAGATCCCACGCATCACCTAAATCGAACTTGTAACACGTTGCACAACAGCCAATTGCTCAGAAACTTCATTATTACTCTAAGCGCCTAATGGCTTCGAGTAGCAGTTTTGTTTATGTACAACAAACATACAGTAAATAGGAAATCAAATACAAACACAGAGGTACAGTTGTGCATAGGTAAGTAAGTATTGTATATTATTGATTGGAATCTCTTCCTACAATCCGACAGAAGTAATGCAAGTGACACAAGACGTTACGTGTTACGTGTAACAAACACAAAACTTAAATCTGTCTTATGTTTAAGTTTTGTAATTAGTCCTAAAGGTACAATAACAAAATATTTTTTTTTTTGTTCAAAAGTACAGTTATCCTCCTCAAGCCCAACCGCCGCAGTATCATCGCGACAATCCGGACGTCGGGATCGAGAGACGACCTCAGACCACAAGCAAGGGTAACTCGCCGCCCGACCAGAACTAGACCCAAGCGTACGGCGTGTAGCGTTGTAGCGTTTTAGCGCGCGCCTCAAAGACCACCACACACCGGTCCCAACAGGGTCTAGGAATCTGACACTCCCTCTCGCCTCACCGTGGGCGAAATAACCAAGTTGATGATTCTATCTCCTTAAAAAAGGATACAATGTCACCTAAACATTTTACTTAAGTAATAATAACCCAAAGCTCGATCTGTTTATCTATAGTAGATGTATTTTTAACACTTATTAACTAGCGACCCGTCCCGGCGTCGCACGGTATCACTGCTGATACTAACTTTCTCGACTATTTAATGGATGTTATAATACATACACTAGCAGACCCAGCCACGCGTTACTGTGGCTAAGGTAAATAATATTGTGATTATAAATTGAGATGTAAGCTATCTTATCTTTCAAGTTGGATCAAAATGCACACGGAATGCAAATCAAATTTAAAATCGGTTTAGTAGTTTAGGAGTCCATCGCGGACAAACACGTGACACAAAATTTTAATATATAAAGATATTATACGTAACTATGTCTATTAAAAGAAACCGTACCTAAATCCGTTGCGTAGTTTCAAAGATTTAAGCTAAGGCAACTTTGTTTTATACTATGCAGTGATGTATTTCTATATTTAAGGGGGGGGGGGGGGGGGGGGGGGGGGGGGGGGGATTAAGCAAAAGTGATTTTGGTACAGTAACATATTATTATCACTTTTTCTTGTTTTCGTATAAGGCAACAAACGAGCAGATGGATGACCTGATGGTAAGCAATTGGCGCCTACCATGAACACCCTGAACACTGGATGAGCTACAACAGCGTTTCTGTCCTTTGACAGTTTAAGGATTTGAAGTTTGGACAATTTTGGATTTGGGAAAAGGACTCGAAAAACCAAGGCAAGCTTTGTTTCACATTGGTTTTCTGTGAGGAAAGTAGGCCGTGGTATCACTCCGGTTGAGCCGGCCTGTTTGTGAACAAGCATAGCTTTTTTAAACTTAACAAAACTTTATAATTCCTTAGTACCTAAGTATAGGTACAAAGGCAATGACGTACAGCCGCACGGTAATAATTTTAAATCAGAAATCATTTTTTTTGTCTTTTTTAGGGCCTATTAACTACGTATGAAAAAGAAAAACAACAATAAAATTCAAAAACTCTAACCTGTACCTATTCATGCTCGTATTATTATATAAGTTATTTTATAATAACATTTTTCTTTGTACTATTACAGGAATCCTATTCAGTTATACAAACATTTCAGGAATTTATTTAATTAAAGACAATTACTTATGTTTTTAATTATTATCTTATTATACGATAAGGAAACAACGTGTACCTATGAAAGAAATATGTAGCTACAGTACCTACTTATGTACCTGCTCTTTATGAGTGACTGTTATTGTACAGTTTTAAGTAATTAATAGTTAAGGAAATTAATCATTTTTCCTACGACACTAAACGCACTATCGAACACTAAGTGTGTACCCAAACCTACTACTTTTATACTTCATCTTTACAGTACCCACTGCTGAGCAAATACCTTTTTTTTAGGTGTGACCACTATCATATTATTATGACTTTCGTCGCCTTTGGTCAGACTCTTACTGAGTAAAGATCACCCCGTTCCTACTGAAGATCTGAAAAATTTGAGAGCCCAATTGAATGCTAAATGTAATGAGATACAAAATAAACATAAACACCAAAATAATGTCGTACTGGGTTTGATATCTCTTAATATCAGAATACCAACCAATGTAAACATTTTTTTTCTAATTTTGTGTAGCCCATTCATTGTAACCGCTCGAAACTATATACCACTATACATCACACTTCGGAGTAGCAACACAACAGCACGACATCAAACAAGATTATCATCCCAAGATTAGAATCCCTTATTGTAGCTTTGTCCTAGTTGTCGAGAATCACATCCCGACAACGCACAGCTCTGCTACAGACACGTAGGTACCTTAATTTATGATCTTACAAGGGATAAGTCACGGTTTCAACTGATATTCCACTTATTTGATACCAAATATTGATATTATAAAGCCAAATAGTTTGTTTGTTTGAACATGGTTATCTCCGAAACTGTTGACTCGAAATTTAACAATATTTTTTGTATTGGATAGTCCACTTATCGAGGAAGGCTATCGTATATATCATCATGCTAGAATCAATAGAAGCCGAAATTTCAGCAGGTGTAACTGCGCGAGAATAGCAGCAGTAGGAGGAAAAATAATATGACAAAGACCAGATTGTTTAACGACTTGTCGAAGATGATGATTTGGCCTAATCAGTAGTGAAGTCAGTGATGATAGGCGTTATTTTTATAGTGTATATGTGTATGTCAATAGTGACAGGTTCTATGGTACGACGATTCCTGTGCCTTTTTTTGTGAAATTGGACCGTAAACTTACTTACCGATCATCTGAAGGTAAGCAATCGGCGCTGCCTACGACACCACCAAGTCCTGAGTAGTTTCAAGTGCAAAGCCATGGGGGGTGGGAGCGTTACGAAGACGTAACTGTTGTTCCACGCCGCTATTCTGTAAGGCACATTTAGGTCGAGCCCCTCGTTGGTTAAAATCTATTGCAATTACTGAAATATTTTGAATTATTCACAGCTGAAATCTTATGAAGAACTAAACAGTTAGACTCCACACATCCTAACTACCACAGTATTATTATATTGATATAATAAAAAACCTGCGATAAGAAGTCATTTGTAAATATTGTGAATGAGCAGTACAGTGCGGGTGAATGACCGCGGAAGACGGGCTATCCCTGTTTATCACAAAACTATGAACAATAAAAAAATATTTGACCAAATAAAAATCTAAATAATGTCGTGTTTGCTTGTCATATCTCATCTGTAATCTGCAATCTGCAATCAGGCATCATATCATTTTTAACAAAGAGGCTGTAGTAAAGGTTTACGATGATCTTGTTATCTGCACAATGCTACTCGGGTCGGGCCTCCTTCCGATTGTTCCCGGGGCGCTGTGCAGGGCTCCGGGAGTCGTGCACACTGTACTGTTTACTCGCTACCGCCTACCTGCAAACTGCAACCCTACGACCACCTGTGCGAGCAGTGTTGCTAGCTTATTAATAACTGCGGCGTTCGGGGAAAATATATTATTCGTTGCTATGTGAATAGTTAATAAAATGTGTGACGAATTCGGTTTACTTCTGAAGATGTTTAGTAAAATTTCTTGAGTTGGAGAATTCCAGGTCATTCCATAATTAAGTCAAGCATTCGAAGTGCAAGTGATGAATTGTTAATCTTAACTGGTCTCAATACATGATTTTTTTGCAAAGTTATGTGATCATAATTTTGAAAAACCTCTATAAAATTGATTCAATTACATTCATAGCTATAACTATTCAAAACACTGTCACAGAACTATTACCATTGCACTGAGGTATTGTTACATACCTGTCTCAGGCATCGATGTCTTTATTTACCAACATCCTGAGGAAAAATTTCAGCAACCC